TTCATCCAGTTTCCTAATTAAATTGTATGTCATGCATTTACTTTGCGAAATCCTTCACATTTCTTGGTAGTAGCCAAGTAGATTTCCATGGAAAGCCAGGCCCCCCCCCCACCCTACCCCTATTTCCGCCTATGGCAGTCCCTCTCGAGCGATTTTTATGCAGAAACATTTCAGCATCGGGCTATCAAATTCCACCAGTCATTAGAGGCTAAAATTTAATTAAGGACATCATGACACTCAAAATTTCAGCTCTTTCCAGGCGGACCGAAAACGTATGTGCGTTCTCTAAGCGTCCCCCTTTTCATCTCCTTTCATCCGTTCCTTCCTTCTTTCTTTTCCTCCTTTTTATTCCTCCTTTTCTTCAGGAAACGGTGGGGGCGTACGCCCCCTACGCCTCGTTGCACGATGGATCGAGTCAATAGGAGAGGTCGGAAAAAATTTGGAAACTTTAAAAACTTTTAACTCCTATTATACAAAACTTTGAGGTCCTAAAAGTGATTCCATTGGTTTCCTTGTGCAATTTTCTACTGCATGCTTCCATTGGAATTTAAAATGTGACAAAATATACGCCAAAATTTGCAGTTTTTTTCAAAAATGTTTTATCCAACCTCTCTACTTGACTCGATCCACTGTGCGTCGCCCCTCTTTGGATACGTAACGTGCGTTAAAATAACTGCGTTGACTTTCAATCGATTTCGTAGCCCGCTTTTGGCGGAAAAACTTGCCTGTAAATCTTCCTGTCTCTCAAGATTTCATCAGAACTTAAGTCGAACAAGACTCGAAAAATTAGACCTTGGATGCCTCGACAGCGCGGAAGCTTCCTTGCGGCATGATCTGCTGTGCTTATGTTCCGGTCGTCAAAATCCGGCGTGTTTGCCAAGTCGTGCACAAAAAGAACCAACATCACCGTTGATCGTAAATGCCTCGCCGTCCAATTTGGCAATGCTAGTGACGAATCTGGAGCCTAGTAAATGACTCGGAGGAACGCGAAGCGATGCGCGATAAATGAGTTGAGCCATTTTTTACACAACCCCAACTTTCGCGCCGGGTTGCCAAATTTGAACCCGAATCCGGGCTCAAAAATCGGTTTCACTGATCTAGGTTCAGCGGGCTAAATCTTACAACACAGCCTAACTCAGCTTTGCTCACTAATCGACTGCAATCATTGCTCTAAACAGAATTACCCGAGCCGGATCCTGGTTTGAGTGCAGTGCTGCCATTTTATTTTACCGAAAATTCCTGAGTTCCCGGAATTGAGTCCGATTTCCAAAAGTTCCGAGAAGTATCCCGATTTGTCGAAAGTTTCGGAGAAAAATTCTGAAATACGCCCGGATTTAGTTTGGATTTAAGATCGTCTTTGATCAAAAATAATCAAATTTGATCAAATAATCGGCCACTCTGACGAAAAACCCCGAAATTCCAAGAAAATTCCGATTATAGCTGGAAATTCCGGGGATTCTGAAGATTTTGAGAAATTGCAACAAATACCGGGAAATGGTACCACTAAGTTGCTGTAATAGCAATGCGACCTTCAATATTTTCAGATATTTTAGATTAAAGTGAGAACAAAATCGTCTGAAAAATTTGACGGAAAATATTCAGAATTTTCCCAGTGAATCCGCTTTTCATTGAAGAAAATATGGCAACTTTTGAAGGCTCATACGGCGTTCTTTCTCGGAACAGCAGCGCAGGTCAAAATTCTTTTAATCATGGTGTTAAAAATCAATCTTTTTTCCTCTTCGGAGATACCTCCCTGTGGTTCTGCTTATATGAAAGTCGCAACACTGTAAACTGTACAGTCGTTCAGTCTAACAATACCCCCCCCCCTCCCGCGGGTATGAACATACCCAGAGCCTGCAGTCTCCGGGAGAGGAAGCGCGTGTGCGTGTTTACTGAAGCAGAGCGAAACTCAGATAAAAGTGATCCGAAAACTTTTTCTGTGCTTGAGTTTAAGTATAATAGAGGGTTTTGTCGCACTCCATCACCTAAGTTGAGCAATCAGCGGTCTACTTTGTCCCGAGTTTTGAGTCTCGCTCCGGCAACCCGTGCATGCACGCACCATCGAGCCATCCAGATTCGACCGCATTTTTCACTCGCAGCAACCTGTGTCGCGAGCCTGGATTTCCTACTCCGCTTTTCAGGAATGAAAACCCGCCTATGAAGTCGCACCGTTCCGCTCCATTTTTCCCCAGATGATTTTCATGCGGCTCGCAAAGCGCCAAAATTTCATGTTTGTAGTAGACGTAAAACAACTCTGCCATGATAAAGAAAAGCGCCGTATGAACTCTCAGACGCTGCCAAATTTACACAAATAAAACCTAAATTTCCAGGGAAACTTATGGATATTTTCAGAAACATGGTGGTTGATTGATCAGATGAAAATCATATTGTAAATACAATTTTCTAAAAATACGTATTAATACCAAATTTGGCTGGCTAAGCTGCATGGAACATGGTAATTGATTTTAAAAAAAAAATCGAGCTACAAATCAAAAATAAATCAAACAAGTAATATTTCAAACTACATGGAGATTAGATGTAGTTTGATATATTACTTGTTTAATTTATTTTTGGCTTGTAGCTCGATTTTTTTTAATCAAATACCATGTTCTATGCAGCTTACTTAGCCAGCCAAATTTGGCATTAATATGTATTCTCAGAAAATTGTATTTAAAATATGATCTTTATCTGATAATTTACAAGAAAATCATTTGTTACTTTCTTCAAAAATTAATTTTTTTCCAGAGAAAATTCGGCAACTATCGAATTTTCAGACGATGTCTATCCTTAGCACGGCAGAACTGGCCTGAAACCGGTAGCTGCCAAAAGAGCTTTGCCAGGGTTATTGCGTCGACGTGCATTTTCGCACAACGTATGGAATATGTCCATGAATAATAATTTAATTCGAGTTAAAAGGACAATAGCAATTTTTACCCAGAGAGTTGAGAATGTGAGAATTGTAATTGGTGAATATATTGAAACAAACAATCATACCTCTAAAATACTCTGCTCATCTTGCTGCTGATGCTCTTGCTCGTACGATTGAAGCAACTGAAATAAACAGATGGTGGAAAAACAAGTAAGGTATGGAATACATTAAACATTGATTTCTACAACTGGCTTTTTCTATCTGGTTTCCTTAAAAATGTGTAATAATAATCAATTTTATTCCGAGTTTAAGTATTTTCCGTGTTTTAATTGAATCGTGTTGTGCAAAAACAGCTCTTGTTCATTTTTTCAGCTTTCAGTTTTTTTGAGTTGATAATTTTTTCTAAATTTGATACAATTATGAAAGTGGTATCAATCTTGTTTTGGGTTTAGGATGAGGATATACCTAACCCTAAATCAAGTGATGAAGAATCAAAGTGACATCAAGTATCAAGAATCAATAATCAAGAATGAGAAAAAGCATACTTTGTCTATGTAGGAACAGTAATGGCACATACGTTGCTTCTACAGTGAGCCTAAAATATTAGCTCCCTATTGCTAAATGGACGTATTTCTGTCGAACGGAACCGGAGACAGGTGGGAAAGAAGGGGTGTGCTCGTTAGTTGAGTGCCGTAAAAATGCGAATGGGAATTTTCTGCTGTTAAGAGCAAACAGGATCAAGATCCATGGTTAGCACATATTTTTATGTGTCTCGGAGTTCATCCCAGTATGCNGTGATCCGAAAACTTTTTCTGTGCTTGAGTTTAAGTATAATAGAGGGTTTTGTCGCACTCCATCACCTAAGTTGAGCAATCAGCGGTCTACTTTGTCCGGAGTTTTGAGTCTCGCTCCGGCAACCCGTGCATGCACGCACCATCGAGCCATCCAGATTCGACCGCATTTTTCACTCGCAGCAACCTGCGTCACGAGCCTGGATTTCCTACGCCGCTTTTCACAAATGAAAACCCGCCTATGAAGTCGCACCGTTCCGCTCCATTTTTCCCCCAGATGATTTTCATGCGGTTCGCAAAGCGCCAAAATTTCATGTTTGTAGTAGACATAAAACAACTCTGCCATGATAAGGAAAAGCGCCGTATGAGCTCAAGGATGCTGCCAAATTTACACGAACAAAACCTAAATTTCCAGGGAAACTTATGGATATTTTCAGAAACATGGTGGTTGACTGATCAGATGAAGATCATATTGTAAATACAAGTTTCTAGAAATACATATTAATGCCAAATTTGGCTGGCTAAGCTGCACAGAACATGGTAATTGATTTTAAAAAAAACTCGAGCTACAAACCGAAAATAAATGGATTGCGTTTTGCAAAAAGGAACCACTAGCATTGCAATGTTGCTAAGATTGTGCAACTTCCTTTGTCTTGGAGGAAAAACCCGATTATCCATTAATAGTTTCTATTTTACTCGCTAAAAACTGTAAATTTAAGACAAAAATTACCATCTAAATTTCATAGTTTTTCACGATTTCCGCAATTTTATTGCAAAAGATGAAGTTGCACAATCCTAGCACCATTGCAATGCTAGTGGTTCCTTTTTGCAAAATGCAATCCAAATGAAACAAGTGATACTTCAAACTACATGGAGATTAGATGTAGTTTGATATATTACTTGTTTAATTTATTTTTGGCTTGTAGCTCGATTTTTTAAATCAATTACCATGTTCTATGCAGCTTAGCCAGCCAAATTTGGCATTAATATGTATTTTCAGAAAATTGTATTCACAATATGATCTGCATCTGATAATTTACATGAATTTCACTTGTTACTTTCTTCAAAAATTAATTTTTTTCCGGAGGAAATTCGGCAACTATAGAATTTTCATACGTTGTCTAGTACGGCAAAACTGGCCTAAAACCGGTAGCTGCCAAGGGACAAAAAAATAGAGCTTTGCCAGGGTTATTGCGTCGACTTGAATTTTTGCACAACATATGGAATATGTCCATGAATAATAATTTAATTCGAGTTATAAGGACAATAGCAATTTTTACCCAGAGAGTTGAGAATATGAGAATTGTAATTGGTCAATATATTGAAACAAACAATCATACCTCTAAAATACTCTGCTCATCTTGCTCCTGATGATGCTCTTGCTCGTACGATTGAAGCAACTGAAATAAACAGATGGTGGAAAAATAAGTAAGGTATGAAATACATTAAACATTGATTTCTACAACTGGCTATTTCTATCTGGTTTCTTTAAAAATGTGTAAAAATAATCAATTTTATTCCGAGTTTTAGTATTTTCCGTGCTCTAATTGAATCGTGTCGTGCAAAAAACAGCTAATGTCCATTTTTTCAGCTTTCAGTTTTTTCATGTTAATAATTTTTTCAAGAGTTGATACAATTATGAAAGTGGTGTCAATAGTTGTTTTGGGTTGATAACCCTAAATCAAGTAATGAAGAATCAAAGTGACATCAAGAATCAAGAATGAGAAAAAGCATACTTTGTCTGAGTAGGAACATTAATAGCACATACGTTGCTTCTACAATGAGCCTAAAATATTAGCTCCCTATTGCAAAATGGACGTATTTCTGTCGAACGGAACCGGAGCCAGGTGGGAAAGAAGGGGGGTGCTCGTTAGTTGAGTGCCATAAAAATGCGAATGGGGAAATTCTGCCATTAAGAGCAAACAGGATCAAGATCCATGATCAGCACATATTTTTATGTGTCTCGGGGCTCATCCCAGTATGCACTTACTGCTCTCCTCGGTATCTCGGGAGAATAAAACGCCAGTGACGTCAGCGGCGACGGCCGGGCTCGAAGAGCTCACCCATGCCGCATTAACTCATGAGCCCTGTCCACAACGCTCTTGTCACATGCCCGCGGCTCATGAGTGCCGCATGGCTTAGTTCCGTTTGACTTTTAATGAAAAATCCCGATCTTCCATTTCTCCAAAAGGCATTCCGTCCACTTTTACATTGTCTCTTATGCAGCTCACCACGAGCACACCCTATCTCTCCCACACGTCTGTGGTTACGTTAAGCAGAATTACATCCAAATGTAGTCGGGGTGTCTACTATTATAGGCTGGCCAAAAATCAGTACTTTTACAGCACTTTTTCAGTGCATTCCCAAAATATTCAGCATATCTCAACAGAAAAATTCAAAAAATACCTCCATTAGATGGACGTATTTCTAACAAACGGAACTAAGCGCCATCGGGGGAGGAAGAAAGAGGGTGGCTTGGATCGGCGAGTGTTTCGGAACGCGATGCTCGTTCCGTCCTATACTCGCAATGATTTTCCATGGCGCTTAGTTCCGTTTAACAGAACGCACTATCCGGGATTCTAAAATTCCGAGAAGGAACTCAGATTGGCGCTTAGTTCCGTTCCGTTTAACAGAAATACGTCCAGATGAAATTCGAAAAATTTCGAAAATTTGAAATTCTCACCCGAATTGAAACAAAAATGACGAAGACGCATAATTTTACCGGTGGCTTAACTGAATGCACAATCGTGATCTTGCAAGCAAATAATGCGTTGATTCTTATTTTGAGAATCAACGCGAAGGAGATTGCATACTTTCCAGGCTTTATTAAAAAACACGTATGGCATTAAGGACAAAATTCCGGACCTTCTTGCGGAATCTCCGCACTTTTTTAGTGCCTCCGGACCGCACTTGAAAAATTAGTACTATCTCCGGAAATTCCGGACTAGTAGATACCCCGGTAGTTCATTCTAATGTGCATTGGAAGAATGTATGGAAATGACATTACCGTTATGAGTGGTTCGATGAACTGAGCACTAAAAACCGGCGAGGGGGAGTGTTCGAAGGAGGTGATTGGCGCGAGAGCTATGTGGGTTCTGACTAGTTGGTTGAGCTGATCATCTGAGCTGGCAGCCACGAAGAAGGATGTCGTGCCCATCGAATGACCGATGTGGATCAAATCTGGCTGTCCACTTGTTTGAAGAATGTACTGTATCATCACTCGCACGTCAATCAGGCCCAGTGTGTCCCAGCTATATTCGAACAGAACAAAAACATGGAGCTGCTAATGGGTTTGTTACTGAAAGCCTGTCACAACTTTAGTTGCTCCCGTTGTATTTCCGGAGGCACGGGATCGTGAGTTGATATTACTGTAGCTCAGAAAATATAAAAGCATCAAGGAAAGTGGTATGTAATCGAACAAGTAGATTAAGGACGTGGGAGAAAAGTCATTAAAAATTAGTTCGTCAAATTATCCAAGATTTATTTCCTATTTCACTCAATAATAGTTGTCTGTTAAAAATTATGTCTGTAAAAAGAATTATGAAGTGAATTCACAAGTGGACCGCGTTTAGCAGAAAGGAGCCAAGCCGCATCAGCTGTTGTCAAATTTAACTGGCCATTTAATTTTTTATGAGAGAATGTTTGTGCGGAGTCCTTAGAAAATGTTAATGAATTTGCTTCTTACTATGCAGAAAGTTATATGCAGAATAAGTGAGAAACTTCCCTGAAATTTGCACAAAAAATCCGCACAACCGTTTTCTTGTGAAAAATTGCCCAATTAAATTTGGCAGAGGCGGATGAGTCTTGTTTCATATCTACTGAACTCGGTCCCATAACTCTTGGTAGGAGTTTTAGACCCTCGCTAATTTAGCCAACAGGCACGAGGGAAATGAAGATGGTAACGCCAGCAACAATTCGTGCTCGACGCATGTCCAAGTTGCATATACCATCAATTAAAGGCGCCCTGCGTTTCTCAAACTTACAGCGTGCTACGGAACATGTAATCCAGTCGCTGTTTTGCTCGAAGTGCCGTTCGAGATTTTATATCGCATGATTTAGAGATTAAGCTTGATTTGTATGATTTAAAGATTAAGCTTTACTGTCATAAGACTATGAGAAAAAGAAAAGAATGAAAACCAACTCAGAAGAATGGTCATTTATTGTTGAAACTCTGAATTGATTCTCCCTCGTCGGTGTCTCTTTCGAAGAGTCTCGAGGCACCGAACAATTGGACATATTTCTGCCAAACGGAACTATGTGCATTATGACGTGAGCCCTGTTATACACATATTCTTATAAGTCTCAGGGCTCATGTCTTAAGGCACATAGTTCTGTTTGACAGAAATACGTCCAATTAAACGGTCAACCTCGTTTCGAATGGAAATAACTAATTTTCACAACCAATAGACTGAAGGAACTTGGTCCGTAGCTCTCCGACAAAATTGCGCCGAGTTCTCTGACAGCACCTCGGGTTGCTTCCTTCTCCCGGGTAGCTATGCAATATGCACAAGACGGTGCTTCGCCCGATGCGGGGGCGGGACACATTGCAAGTTGCAACACTTGCAACACATGCTCTGCTCCTACTAAACAAATGCTCGCCTTCCCTATTCAACGTCCGCCAAGCAAAGTCGTGTTGTCAGACTGGGCAGGAAAGCTCCATTTGTCACCCAAGAATACCTCCATCGAAATTTGGAAGAACGGTTCATGTGACACGATCAAGATGTAGATGTCGCGGACAAAAAGTCGAATCGGGCATTTTATCAAATGCCTAGGTAGACAGTCAAATCAGCGTTTAAGAGGTTTCTTATGTTCCCACAAAGATCTCTCGAATTGTCAATATTTTAAGAGTAAAAATTCATAAAGTAAAGACTGCTATCGCATTACCTGTTTCAAAATGCTCCTCGTATTTTTTCAACCGTTCAAATTGTGACAAAAATTTATTTTATAAAGAGCTGTATGTGTAAGAGATAAATGTGCATTTAAGGATTAGAAAAAAAAATTATTTATCATTATATGAAGCAAATTTGTACGATCCGTTGTTGGTAAAGCACGTATTTGACCTAGTTTTTGCATAAATTTACTCATTTTTGCGGAAGATGGCTCATTTATGGACATGCTTAACCATTCTGGTCTAATGCTAGGATCTGAAGATTGGCAGTGGCATGTTTCGTTTTCAAAGGTTTGCTATTCTTTTGGACCCTGAGGGCTCCATATTTCGAAATTTCCGTGCTATTCCTATAAAGGTACACTAGTCTAGTCTTCCATCGGTAAGGAACATTATGGACCGAGTTTATCAGAGAGGAACCAACTTACTTCAAGTTGAAACTGAGAAAAAGAGGACTGAAATGTTATTCCTCCATAAGACTCAATGCAGAACGTAGACTTGAATCCCACTTTTCACAAACTAATATTTTTTTCGATTTTAAACTTTTGGCAGAAGAAAATATACAACTAGAAGGACTCAAAAACATTCTTAACTCAATTTTTTTTTTTTTAAATGGGGTTTGGTTCCTTTCTGATGGACTCGGTCCAATGAGCCAGTTACGCTAGTCACAGAATCGTGTTTTGATGCTTTATTCTTTCAGATCAACTAAAATTAATGAGATCTGTCCAAACAGCAACTTTCTACTTTGAATATTAACCGAGATATCGCGCATTGAAAAACTCAATTTATGACATCATCCACCGCGATAGTGACACCCTTGAACCTGATTTTGAATCAGTTGAGAAATCAGTGCTAATGTGCGTCTCCCTGACTAATAAAACCAAGGTGAAAGAAACCAAAGGTGTCACTACCAGGAGGTGGATGACGTCAAAAACCCGACTTTTCGAAGGATGATATCTCGGTTAAAATTCAACGGAGAAAGTTGCTGTTCGGACAGAAGTTCTTACTTTTAGCTAATCCACACGAATCAAGCATCAAAAGCACGATTCTGTCACCAGCGCAACTGCGGACCGATTATTGAAATTGATATACAAAGCTATAGACAAAGAAGACGTAGGGAGTATGGAGCGATCCTATTGGTTGTAACTTGTGGTTCCTATAGACTAAGGGCGAAAATGATAGACTAACTGTCGGGTATCTCATGGGTTGCCGTTAGTTAGTCTATTACCTACCTCCTTTGTCCATTGCAACCACCCTCTTCCACCAATAGGATCTCTCGATATCTCTTTTGTCTTCTTTGTCTATAGCTTTGTGTGTAAATTTCTATAATCGGCCCGCTGGCCCATTTTCGTTGAAAAATGGCAGCGTGGGATTGAGAGGGAGGTACGGTCGGCGGGCATGTACGCCTGGGCCGGTGGAGAAACCATTCAGTCATCGCTTTATTCAAATTTTGCTCACAACAGAGTTGCTTGTATGTGCAAGTTTGGCTTATATACTTCCGGACGAAAGGACGAAGGTTACTTGCGTAATGGGCGCCGTTGATCCCCGTCCACCGCCGCACAGTGGATCGAGTCAACGCGAAAGGTCGGACAAAATTTTGAAACTTTAAAAGCTTATAACTCCGTTTATATAAAACTCTGAGGTTCTGTAAATGGTTTCATTGGTTTCCTCGTAAAATTTTCCTCCGAATGCACCCCTTGAAATTTAAAATGTGACTAAATAAAAACTAAAATTTGCATTTTTAGTCAAAAATTTTATGTCCGACTTCTGTAATTGACTCGATCCTCTGTGCGCCGCAGGTCCACGCTCCACGACGACGTCACGTCGGGCTTAAACGATTTCCCCGCGAAATCCAGCCGGCAACTTTCTTTTCCCGCCCCGCTAACGAGGTGAAATGTCAGTCTCTCATTTTTTATGCACTCCCCAATATGTGGTTACTCTCTCACTCTTTCCTGTTCTCATTTTTTCCTGTCCAAATTCCTCCTCGTCCAAATACACGCTTTCAACCAACCTCGCGTTCCAACCCCAGTTCTCCCTCCAGAATGTTCTTGATTTTTCAGGATCCACCCCTAACCAAATAACATTTTTCAACGGAAAAATCACGATGAAATATCTGTATATTTTGCGATTTTTTACGACTAAAATCGCTAGAATCATCAACATCTGAACGATGATCCTCGATCTTGCTCTGGAAAAAAAAAACACATTGGATCTAGAGTCCAGACTCTTAAAAACATCGACAAGAAAAAAAAATCTTGATTCAATCAGATTTAAGCTTAAATCAAGAACCGAGCCTCTTAATTTGAGCGGATTTCCTTTTAATTTAAGCAAAAATCTGATTGAATCAAGAGTATTTTTTCTTGTCAATGTTCTCAAGAGTCTAGACTCTAGATTCAATGTGTTTTTTTTTCCAGTGTGTTCTAATTTTAGTTCGCGCTCAATGAAATCGAAGAAATTAAAAAAAAAAAAACCAGCAATGTATTTATGAAAGTTTTGCCTTTCCTTGAAAGTCATTCGTTAAATAGAAGTTTGAAGAATTTCAAGAACACTAATCAACCTGCTCCACCATAATATTTGGTGAAAACGAAGTGTCCTGCACTACACTAGAGGCTTACTCGATTTACCTAACCTGAAGTCCCAGTATTCACGCATTTCTGGCTTCAAACGTTTGTGTCCGCTGGAGTAGACATTGCCTCGGAAATTTCCTGCCCAGACGTCGTATCCCGCATCGGCCAATGTAAATCCTGAGGACATAAAAATAAACATTGATTACTAAACTCTCGATATTAAATTCTCCTACTGCTCAATCCTGATTGATCTAAGACCTCCAAATCTTGGGTTATATTATGTGTCTCTTTCCATGCAATAAGTCTGTCACATGCGAGAGATGTAGGCAAGTAATGAGATCTTCTACAGATAAAAGCGCACGAACATCACAATGGACACATCAAAAAAGCCTGAAGTCCTCTCTTTAACACGCAGTCTGTGTAGTTTTTACCACGTTTTTTTGAAATCCCAGCATCCATTGGCAATTATTATCGGTCACCTGATTTGCCCAGAGAGAGAGAGAGAGAGAGACAATAAAGGAATAAAGAAGCACTTGCAAACTTTTTTAATGTATGAGTTCAATCGGTTTCAAGCGGTTGTTCCTTTCCTCTTTCATTTTTTGTTTTTGCAAAGAGGAAGGCTTTATAATATTTTTTACGTCAGGGAAGTTTTAACAGTTCCTGAGATTGTCTGTATATCTGTAAACGAAGGTTAGGTTTTCTTAAATCTCTCTCTGGGATCACCGGACTACATGCCGGCCAGAAAGAAAAACTACCTACTTACGCGGTAAATTTGAAAAAGCGTGACACAAAATACACAGATCGCAGGAAGAAGTGGATTTCAGACTTTCTCTATGTTCCCGACGTGATTTTCATGAAGTTTCACCTGCGACAAACCACTGTTTCCCTAACGACCATTTTTGCCCTGGACAATCAAGTTGTGTAATCCTGCAGTTTGCACATCGGCAAAAGGCAAGGGTTCATCAGAATTGAACATGAAACTTGAATGATTAAAATAGAAACTAATAGATGTTGACGCGAGTGTTTCAAGCTGAGCCATACATAACAATAGATACACATTTTTAAGAGCAGCCCGAGACAATGATAGAGTGGAAAAACAAGGGGGAAAACGGGAAACAAGGCTAAAATACACAATTAACATACAAACTACACAATATACATAACAATTCGATGGTGAAGTCTTACATGTGCCAGAAATTTGCGATTTGAGCACTGATTCCTATATAAAATTTCCCGAGAAACACGGCGGTGCCACTTTATTTGGGGACCACAACTGAAAACACGACAACCCTGCTAACTTATTCGCTCTCTGTCTTTGCATAGAGTGTGTCTTTATACAGAAGTGGACTCTGAAGGTATAGCGTGAGGTATCCTCCTCCTCTACCTCGGGTCTCATCTTTGAGAGCTTTTTTTGAGCTTTAGAGTTGATTTCAGAGAAAACCAGTGGCATCATCGTGTCTCTCGCGAAAGTATATAAAAGAGTGAAAGTACTCAAGTCACGAATCCCTCACGCATGCAAGAGCTCCACAGGTCCCACACACATGGTGCATCATATTACATAGTGAAAACAATGTATCGTCACGCAATATTTTTCTACACAATTCATAGCCCCCGTGTAAAATCGTGAGTCAATCAAGCAGAATGATAGTGGTTGTATAATCCTGCAGTTTGTACATCGGCGAAGGGGGTATAGGAATGAACGGGGCGGCGCGTGGTGGTGGGGGCGGGGGCGGTTGTGGTGGAGGGTTAACCTTATGACCGTCTAGCCCCCCGGCCGCACGTGTAAATTATGATGTGCAATATTTCACCGCGCACCAGACGAGCTCACTACGTAACAGATTTCATTCTCACAACTTGACCCCACTTAAGACCACAAACACCACCCAGTTCATTCGTACTCGGACGGTGTAAACCGTCTCCCTCCCACCTCCAACCCCCCCTCTCAGCCCCCAGCCGACTGCTGCTTGCTTCCGCCAGCAAATGGTGAATACTTATTAGATATATAACTTCATAATTCATTTTGTTGACGTTCAACGGCCAATCCGCTAGCCTTCCTGTATTATTTCTTTTTCTTTTCCTCTCCCTTTCGTCCTCTTCCCTCTTATTCGAGAGAAATGGGACTCATTTGGGTTCCTTAATCCGATGTGGTACATTGGTTTTATTAGCTTCAAAGTTTCTCTGTCAGAAAATGTGACCCTCTCTTTTCTTAAAATCTTCTGAAAACAAAATTCAATTTGTAATTCAACTCAGAATGAGTACTTAAGGATTTACGATCTCTGATCACTTTAGAAGTGTATTATCCTACGTTTTGTACTACCTTTTCTACGTATCGTACTTTTTGTACTGCTAATGCTTGAATCATTCATTTAATGCCGACTTTGGAAGTGCATGATTTTAGCCATGAACCGAATTTCGACGCGATCAAAGACAGCAAAAAGTGAACCCGTAACTACTACATGTAAAATATGATAATCTATCAACTAACATAGAACAGATTCACAATCTCTGATCACTTTGGAAATGCATTATCCTACGTTATTTTGATATACCAATACTTAAATCTGTTCTATATTAGTAGATGGATTTTCATATTTTGCTTGCAGTAGTTACGAGTTCATTTTTTGGTGTCCTTGATCGCGCCGAAATTCGATTCATGGCTAAAATCACTTTCAATGCCGGGATTAAATGAATGATTCAAGAATTTGCAGTACAAAAAAGCCTCGGTAGACGATCAAAGTTCCGATCCAAATGAGAGGAAATGTCGGGAGTCATGAGTCCTAAAATCGTTACTTCGCATTATTTTCCAAAGCAAAGAGCCTCCCAAAATTTCGCCCCTTTTTCGGTATTTGATTCGACCATCGAACCAAGGTTTAAGTGGAAGCTTATAATAACAGAAAACTCAGGAAAAAAATTCAAGATGATTGATTGTAGGAACCATTTTCGAGTTACAGGGGGCAAAGGGGCAAACTCCGGACTTATTTTTCGCTATTTACTTGTTGAATTGATGTGTCTACGGGGTTTTTGTCGTTGTTTACACATTTTATACACACCGGTTCCTACGTATTTTTACACGCAAAATCGAGTTTTAATGTTGACGAGTCGATGTATCGATCGGTTATATCGATTTTGTAAGATTCTTTACGGAAAATCGACGATTTTTTGGGATTGAAATTGTTCATTTTTGATTCATGGACGAGTGAATGCACCTAATATGACTGTAGTGCCCCGACACCTACGTATTTTTTCATGTAAAATTGAGTTTTAACGTTAACGAGTCAATATATCAATCGCTTTTATCGAATTTTTGCATTTTTTTAGGAAAATTAATGATATATTGGTATTGAATTTGGTTATTCTCCATCCGAGAACAACCAAAATTTGGGTTGGAACACATTTCCGGTCGGGTCGATTTCCAGTAAAGTCAAGTTTTCGATTGGGGCACAATTCCGGTTAGGTAGAAATTAAGATTTTCGAATTCCGGTCAAGTAAAATTTCGGGTGGATAATGAATCCCGTTTATTGTCGTTTCCGGTCGGTCGGATTTCCGATCGAATCAAATTTTCAGTCGAGTCAAATTTTCGACAGGGACACGATACCAGTTGGAAACAGTTTCCGCTTGAGTTAATTTCCGGTCACGTCATATACAGGTGGATTACGGTTCCAGTGAATTGGAATTTTGGGATGGGTCACATTTCAGGTTGGATCGAATTTCCAGTTGGGTCAAGTTTTCGATTGGAGCACGTTTCCGGTCGAGTAGAGTTTATGGTTGTCGATTTCCGGTTAAGTAAAATTCGGCCGGACGATTGGTCGATTGGTTTGAGTTTCCGGTGGGTAAGATCACCCGTTGAGTAAAGTTTTGGTTAGCAGGGTTAGATAGGTTTTCGGTTGAGTAGGATTTGTGGTAAGTTTGAGTTTCCAGTTAATTTAAAGATTCAGTTAAGTGAAACAAGTGTCACGCTTAATTGAAAGATCCCAATTTTTTAATTGACGATTTGCGTTGTCCAGGAAGATCATCAATTTTTGAATCCAAGAATTCCGAGGGATACACCAGAAACAAAAAAGAAACACACATGCTGATTAGAAGAGAGAAAATTACATGTAAACTTAAAGATGGAAGTAAATACATATATCTGAAATCTTTATCAGTGTATAAGTCTCAGGGAGTCAGCAGTCGCCGGCAATTTGCAAGTTCCGTACTTATTGTCACTTCGTCAAATTGTAATTACACAACATCGATATAGTAAAGATTTCTTTACGCCTTCAAATCTAGCGATACGCTCCGCTTTGCCATGGAGTTAGTTTAGTTGTTTAACCGAGCCTAACACAGATTATTGATGACATTTCACGAACTCGCGAGTGTGTTAGCTGGCACCATGTATCCAAGACTAACAATTTAATTCAACGACTTCAGAACGATTTAATTTGTTGATTAAACACGAATAGATTGCAATTTGCCGGCGATTGCTAATTGCCTGCAACATATATACCTGAGAATAATTGTGAAGAAATTAAGAAGAGAAAAAAGTACTGACTGAACAATCACAATCACTGCCTGTGCAAATGTTAATTAAACATTACTAAAGCACTTTGTCGATGGTGAAAGTGCAGAGGTGCGAATCTCGGAAAACCCGATTTTTCAGGAGAGTAAAAAAACTGTCTGCATTCATCCTTATTATCGGTAGAAGGGTAATAATTCTTGAGGATAGGAAGAATATGATGTTTTTTCGAACTCCATCAGCAGTTTTAATAATTTCTCGAACTGTTAGAAAATACGGCAGAAATGCCGAGATTCCCGTTCTTGGCACTAAGAATCGACACTTCATCAGGAGATACGCATTTTTGCAATAAATGTTTTAAACTTGTTGGTGTATTTGGATCAATTAAGACTGAAAAAGTGTTTCACACTTAAAATTCCTTATCAGATAAGATTTAGTTGGTCATCGATGCTCCATATACATATGCTTTACGCTTTCCTAATGGACCAGTGGACAAAGTATACCTTTTCTTCAATTTTGATCATACACAGTTTATGCAGGAAAGCTTATTTTATCCGTGAGAAACTTTTTAAATTCACAAGCGCTTGTGCGTAAGTTGCGATCTTGTAAACGGCGACTCTTTCACTTTCGCTACAGAATACGATGACCGAACCACGGGACTCAAAGTACACAATCCAATCCGCCTGCGCTCTCTTCTTTGAAATAAGATGGAGAGACCAAAAACAAACTTATTATTTTTTCAAAACAATATTCCTCGACAAATTTCGAAACACTTTTCGATTTAAAACCCATAATTATTTATTTTTGGTCAACTTCATTCAACAAGGCGAATCACAATCGATACAGAAGAGCGCCTTCAAATCAATCCGTAAACTTAATGCAAAATTTTGATACCACTATTCGTGCGTCATGGTAGAGATTTTGCATACCCGGTCATTTGAAGGCGGATCATTGACTTCAAGCAACTCCGAAGCCGAGGATACAAACCACAGGGCCGGCCACCCCCCCTGACCCCTAAGGAGTCCAACCCGGGGGCCTGCCCCCTGACTCCTAAAGAGCCATACCCGGGGGTCAGCCCCCTGTCCCCTAAGAAGCCAAACCCGGGGGTCCGCCCCCTGAATCCTAAGGAGCCTAACGCGGGGGTCAGCCCCCTGAACCCTAAGGAGCCGGACGCGGGGGTCAGCCCCCTGAACCCTAAGGAGCCAAACGCGGGGGTCAGCCCCCTGAACCCTAAGGAGCCGAACGCGGGGGTGAGCCCCCTGAACCCTAAGGAGCCGAACGCGGGGGTCAGCCCCCTAGCCCCTAAGGAGCCGAACGCGGGGGTCCAACCCCTGACCCCTAAGGAGCCGAACGCGGGGGTCAGCCCCCTGACCCTTAAGGAGCCAAACCCAGGGACGAACCCCCTGACACCTAAAGAGCCATACCCGGGGGTCAGCCCCCTGTCCCCTAAGAAGCCAAACCTGGGGGTCAGCCCCCTGAACCCTAAGGAGCCTAACGCGGGGGTCAGCCCCCTGAATCCTAAGGAGCCGAACGTGGGGGTCAGCCCCCTGACCCCTAAGGAGCCGAACGCGGGGGTCAGCCCCCTGAACCCTAAGGAGCCGGACGCGGGGGTCAGCCCCCTGAACCCTAAGGAGCCGGACGCGGGGGTCAGCCCCCTGAACCCTAAGGAGCCGAACGCGGGGGTCAGCCCCCTGAACCCTAAGGTGCCTAACGCGGGGGTCCGCCCCCTGAACCCTACGGAGCCGAACGCGGGGGTCAGCCCCCTGGCCCCTAAGGAGCCGAACGCGGGGGTCCGCCCCCTGACCCCTAAGGAGCCGAACGCGGGGGTCAGCCCCCTAACCCTTAAGGAGCCAAACCCGGGGACGAGCCCCCTGACACCTAAAGAGCCATACCTGGGGGTCAGCCCCCTGTCCCCTAAGAAGCCAAACCTGGGGGTCAGCCCCCTGAACCCTAAGGAGCCTAACGCGGGGGTCAGCCCCCTGAATCCTAAGTAGCCGGACGCGGGGTTCAGCCCCCTGAACCCTAAGGAGCCGAACGCGGGTGTCAGCCCCCTGGCCCCTAAGGAGCCGAACGCGGGGGTCCGCCCCCTGAACCCGAAGGAGCTGGACGAGGGGGTCAGCCCCCTGAACCCTAAAGAGCCAAACGCGGGGGTCAGCCCCCTGAACCCTAAGTAGCCGGACGCGGGGGTCAGCCCCCTGAACCCTAAGGAGCCGAACCCGGGGGTCAGCCCCCTGAACCCTAAGAAGCCAGACCCGGGGGTCAGCCCCCTGAACCCTAAGGAGCCTAACGCGGATGTCCGCCCCCTGAATCCTAAGGAGCCGAACGTGGGGGTCAGCCCCCTGACCCCTAAGGAGCCAAACGCGGGGGTCAGCCCCCTGAACCCTAAGGAGCCGAACGCGGGGTCCGCCTCCTGAACCCTAAGGAGCCGAACGCGGGGGTCAGCCCCCTGAACCCTAAGGAGCCGAACGCGGGGGTCAGCCCCCTGAACCCTAAGGAGCCGAACGCGGGGGTCAGCCCCCTGAACCCTAAGGAGCTGGACGCGGGGGTCAGCCCCCTGAACCCTAAGGAGCCGAACGCGGGGGTCCGCCCCCTGAACGAGTAGCAAAGGTCGACATCGGCAATGGTCGATTCGTGGCGAACGGTCAGAGGTCGATTCGCGAACGGTCATACGTCGATGCCCGAACGCACCGAACCAATCGAACCTAGTTCACCATTGTGCATTTTATTTTACTTTTCATTTTATCGTTTGTTGCAAATGGAGCATTATGTATAGGCTGCTTGTCTTTGCCGTGGACGACACTAAAGACCTCTAAGTTAAAGTAGCTCTCTTAGCAGAACGAGAGCCATAATGGATCAGGAAATTCCATCAATGGTTGTAAATTAAACTAAATTTATGCTTTGTTTCTGACCCTTAAAGTAGATACCTAAGTAAACAGGTCTCGATTTATAATTTGACCTCGACTGATGAGCAATAAAAGCCTAGCGTCACCATTAATGTCTTCCTTTTCTTCATCAGAGAAAGGCTATGTCCTATGTCCAATAATAGACTTAATTATGAACTTTGGAGAAATGTTCTCCTCTTAATTTTGCACCATGATTTGAAGAGAAAGGTCTTCAGGATTTTTCCATTCTGATACTTGAAGGGAATTTAAGTTTTTTTAATATCTTTTCTAATAAGACCCAGCTGGGGCGCTAAGTGGCTTTTTTTATTTATTTTTATCTTTTAATGTGATTAGACATACACATCAATGGTGAACCTAGAAAAATTTCCATTGTGCAAGGAATATGGATTGATAGCATCTCAGAATCGGTGCATTACATGCAATTTTTCTTCATGTACTGATCCGTTATGCTTCAAAATAGTAAAAAATTTAAGAACATCTGAAATGATGCAACTGCAGAAAGGATTGTGGTTAAGTGATGTCACCTTCATTATGCATCCCCTTAAAATGGAAGGATTTATAAAATGAACTTCAAATTTCTTCAATGAAAGTGAAAAACTCTTATGAAGTTGCGTGTAAAAATCAATGTCTCATTTCTGTGTTTTCAGAAACAAGTCGCGGTGAAAATGCCTAATTTTTTTTTTAATTTCATGGAAAATAAACTTGATTTTTCTCGTCTTTGAAAGTATCATGTCCTACCGCGATGTGCAAAAAGAATGCTCGATAGGTACCTATGTCATAACTTTTTCCATGTTTGAATTAAAATGTTCCGATTAGGACTAGTGTGAGAAGTTCCAGTTGTACTTCTTTGAGGCTGGGCCTCAGGCGGCTCTTTCACTTTTGCAGTCAAGTATACTTAGTGTTTCATCCTCTTATCTTTTTGTGTTCGCGTTTTCAGCACCCTGTCTCTCTTTAGTAGGGAGCCGAGGCACCCTTCTATGACTCAGTCTTGTCACGTTACAGTATGAGGAACTGCGCAAAAGCAGATTGAAGCAAAGGAAACTGTGTCGGTAGTAAATTCTAGGTATCCTACATGAATGTATTTATTTCCAAGTAACTCCTGTGGGTAACAAAACGTTGGCTTCCACATCAAGAATAAAGTTGTCAAAGTAGAGGCTTGAAAGCAACTTACAATGAGGTAGATGTAAAGACCTGTGATATTAAAGCGTATTAAAGGTGATAAGGAACTTTACCATCGAAGGAATCTTCAGTCATGGCGACTATGACCATGGAGCAGAGACGTTTCCCTCGCTGTATAAGAAAATCTGCCATTAAAGTTTTTCAAGAACAAGAAAAGCTACAGTTTCATCTGCATTTTTCATCAACTTGGTTCTCAAGAAACCTTCAATGATCAGACGCAATGATATGCTCCTTTGGCGTGGTAGCGAGTGGAGATAATCTATGAACTGCTGAAAGACTACTTTTTCCTCAAAAAGTGGATTTTTCCACCTACCTACACGAAAGTCGTAAAATGTCCACTCAATTAGGGCTCAGACTGAAAAAGAAATTAATTAATTAATTTAAACTGACTCAAAAACACTTCCGGATTGAACAGCTTCGATTAACTTCCCACCGTTCCGACAATGAACAGCAGTGGCTAGGCAAGAAATTACTACTAAACAGACACACTGCCAAAAAAATAATTTATCCGACGACATGCGAAAATTTATTCAGTGAAAAATATTAGACATTCATTCTTGACTATTAAATAGGAAGATGTACTATCACTATTACTAATGTCCTCAAAAGGGGTTAGTTTAATGAGAAACAATAACAAACTCGCCCCGGCGAATGTTCATGACATTCGCGGCAGTTCGCGGAACCATTCGACCCGTTCGCTTCGAGTCGACGACTGCCCTTTTCTCGAATTCGACTTCTGCCGATGTCGACGATTGAACTCCGCCCCGCCCCCTGACCCCTAAGGAGCCGAACGCGGGGGTCAGCCCCCTTAACCCTAAGGAGCCGGACGCGGGGGTCAGCCCCCTGAACCCTAAGGAGCCGGACGCGGGGGTCAGCCCCCTGAACCCTAAGGAGCCGGACGCGGGGGTCAGCCCCCTGAACCCTAAGGAGCCGAACGCGGGGGTCCGCCCCCTGAACCCTAAGGAGCCGAACGCGGGGGTCAGCCCCCTGGCCCCTAAGGAGCCGAACGCGGGGGTCCGCCCCCTGACCCCTATGGAGCTGAACGCGGGGGTCAGCCCCCTGACCCTTAAGGAGCCAAACCCGGGGACGAGCCCCCTGACACCTAAACAGCCATACCCGGGGGTCAGCCCCCTGTCCCCTAAGAAGCCAAACCTGGGGGTCAGCTTCCTGAACCCTACGGAGCCTAACGCGGGGGTCAGCCCCCTGGCCCCTTAGGAGCTGAACGCGGGGGTCCGCCCCCTGACCCCTAAGGAGCCGAACGCGGGGGTCAGCCCCCTGACACTTAAGGAGCCAAACCCTGGGACGAGCCCCCTGACACCTAAAGAGCCATACCCGGGGGTCAGCCCCCTGTCCCCTAAGAAGCCAAACCTGGGGGTCAGCCCCCTGAACCCTAAGGAGCCTAACGCGGGGGTCAGCCCACTGAATCCTAAGGAGCCGAACGTGGGGGTCAGCCCCCTGACCCCTAAGGAGCCGAACGCGGGGGTCAGCCCCCTGAACCCTAAGGAGCCGAACGCGGGGGTCAGCCCCCTGAACCCTAAGGAGGCGAACGCGGGGGTCAGCCCCCTGAACCCTAATGAGCCGAACGCGGGGGTCAGCCCCCTGGCCCCTAAGGAGCCGAACGCGGGGGTCCGCCCCCTGAACCCGAAGGAGCTGGACGAGGGGGTCAGCCCCCTGAACCCTAAGGAGCCGAACGCGGGGGTCAGCCCCCTGGTCCCTAAGTAGCTGGACGCGGGGGTCAGCCCCCTGAACCCTAAGGAGCCGAACGTGGGGGTCAGCCCCCTGGCCCCTAAGGAGCCGAACGCGGGGGTCCGCCCCCTGAACCCGAAGGAGCTGGACGAGGGGGTCATACCCCTGAACCCTAAGGAGCCGAACGCGGGGGTCAGCCCCCTGAACCGTAAGTAGCCGGACGCGGGGGTCAGCCCCCTGGCCCCTAAGGAGCCGAACGCGGGGGTCCGCCCCCTGAACCCTAAGGAGCCGAACGCGGGGGTCATCTCCCTGAACCCTCAGGAGCCAAAAGCGGGGGTCAGCCCCCTGAACCCTAAGTAGCCGGACGCGGGGGTCAGCCCCCTGAACCCTAAGGAGCCGGACGCGCCAAACCTGGGGGCCTGCCCCCTGACCTCTAAGGAGCCAAACCGGGGGGCGGGCCCCCGACCTGTAAGGAGCCAAAGCCGGGGCCGCCCTCCTAACCCCAAAGAACCCAAAGCCGGGGACCGTTCACCAGGCTCCCAAGGAGCCAAAGCCAGGTGCCGCCCACCTGGCACCTATGGAGTCAAACTTTGGTGCTGCGCTTCTGGCACTTTAAATCTGACAGACCTGAAACCACAATTTACTCGATTCGTTTTCCACCCGAAATTTTTGCTTCACTGCAAATCGGAAATCTTGATTTCTACTTAACAGGAAATGTCCCAATTGAAAGCTTGACTCCATTGGAAATCGACCGGACCGGAAATGTGTTCCAACCTAAAATTTGGTTGCCCTTTGATGGAGAATAACCAGTTTCAATATCAATATATCTTTGGTTTTCCTAATTGGACTGCATTTTGCAATTTTGACCTATAAATCCTGGCTTATCTGAAAAAACGCTGATGAGCATAGGGAAACTAATAGCACGTACGTTGTTTTTAAACTGGACCGGAATTTATGGGTCCAAATTGCAAAATGCAGTCCAATTAATCGCAAAAATTCGATATATCGACGGTGAAACTACCAAACAACGTATCTCGGTTTGCGACGTCGCAGACTTCCTGTCATACTTAATTTTTTAAATGAAAAACTATTTAACGTCCAGTCTTGAAAATTTCTGTAATTTTTCCTCTTCGCGCGGAGAAAATTCTGTGAAAATTTCAAGGAATGATATTGATTCGGTCTACTTCCAAAAAATAAAATGTGTGCGTAGATTTTTAAACACCCCAAACGAGATACGTGGTTTGGTAGTTTCACCGTCGATATGCGATCGATATATCGACTTGTCAACATTAAAACTCGATTTTGCGTGTAAAAATACGTCGGATCCGATGTGTAAAATATGTGTAAACAACGATAAGAACCCCGTAGACGCATCAATTCATCAAGAAAATAGCAAAAAATAAGGCCGGAGTTTGACCCCTTCCCCCTCCCCCCCGTTACTCGAAAACGGTTCCTATACTGATTTTAAAATTTTCCTGAGTTTTCTGTTGTTATAAGCTTCCTCATAAATCTTGGTTCGATCGTCGAATCGAATACCGAAAAAGGGGCGAAAGTCAGTCTTTATTTTGGGAGGCTCTTTGGCAGAAACTGTATTATTGCACTGAAAATAAAACTCCGGCCGTGGGAGCCGCAATTACGGGCTATATAGACATACCGTCCGTTCCGGGCTCAAAGGCCGAAAATTACGGCTGCTGGAGGCATAGCTTCGATTGCTTTGGGTTCAGAGTCCGATGCTACGGCTCCAGCAGCCAGAATTTTCGGCCTTTGAGCCTGTAACGGACGGTATGTCTATTGTCTATATAGCCCGAAATTGCGGTTCCCACGGCCGGAGTTTTTTTTCAGTGTGATAAAGTGGCACTCAGTTTCAATTAATAGGGAATTTTGAATGGAATCAAAAATAAAAAAGTCAAACAATCAAAAGTTCAAGAGTGATGGTCCATCTTGATCAGGATTGGTTCGGAATTTGATCGTTTATCGTGGTCGGAACGATAACAATGAGTTCACTGCGTACGGCGCAATGATACAACTATTTCAACTCGTGAGGGCGCGTTTTGCCTATTGAATAAATTGAAGGCGATTTGAACACTGATCATTTTACCGCGATAGGCGGATCTACTCAGAAATTTTTCAGAGGAAATTTTGTAAACATTTTTCTCTCGCACGACCGAAAAATTCCGAGAAGAAATACCTATTCACGGATTCCCTCAAAAGTAGATATTTTATCAGAAGGAATGTGCCAACTGCGAATGTTCTTACGGCTTTTTTCCGTTGTATGTAACGTAGAGTCTAACGACTGTATCGTTGATCAGTGACGTGAGAGTCGCGCTTAATCAAGAACCGAGAGAGGAATGAGGGAAATAACGAAATTTACAAGGCAAGCAAAACTTATGAGTCAATACGCGAAAAACAAGATGCATTGAACGCCCTTATTCTCTCTCCTCCGTAAATCAACTGGGAAACGCCAAAAGTTTGACAACAAATGGGAACGCGAACACAAATCATAATTACAACGTTTCCGAGAATAATTAAATTTCGCCAAATTCCGTATTTTCGTGGTCCTAGCATCCTCTAGCCCTCAACTAGACGAATTCATACATCTATACCTTATGAAACAAAAAAAATACCCTTTGTATTTCGGCAAATAATGAACAGGGGGAAAAATTAAAATTCGAGAAAAAATATGTTGGATGTGGAAAAAAGGGAACCTTTTATGTCGGGTCTTCCTCTTATTTGTACATTGCTGGGATAGGTAAGTGGGCCTGTTTGGCTAGAGGGTGCACATTCGTGCACAAGGTTTGGATGGAGCGACTTCGCTCACGGAATGTTCACCCGTGCCGTAGTGTCGTTTTTGAAGCAGGAAGCTTTAAAAAAGTCATATTTCTTACCTGCGCCGATTGTTAAGTTAGGAGGGTGGTTTCACAATAACTGGAATAATTTTGTCGCCGTAACAGACAACACATTTCTTGGTCATATTTTTGGTAGTAATGATAATCACTCAAATTTTTTTGCATTAATCTGCACAGGGTTACGTGTTTTGACGATTTTCAAAAATGTATCGCTCTACTTTTCAATTTTAATATAAAATTCGTGTGATTATCATTTCTACCAAAAATATGATCGAAAAATGTGTTGTCTGTTACGGCGACAAAACTATTCCAGTTATCGTGAAATCACGCAGGAGTGTTTCCAAATGTGGTGAGTTCACTGCGCACGGCTCAATGACACAACTATTTCAACACATGAGAGCGCGTTTTGCCTATTGAGTAAATTGAAGGCAATTTGAATACCGATCATTTTACCAAATGCGCTAATCGTGATTTTTGAGTCATGTCCTGTACAGAACATCTATTCTTTTTGCGCTAGCTGAAGTTCGCAACAGCGGGCTGACTATTGAAATTGATAGGCAAAGCTACAGACAAAGAGGACAAAAGGGATAGGGAAGGATCCTTCGGTGGAAGCAACTGGTTGCCACGGCCAAAGGAGGTAGGTAATAGACTAGCTAACAGCAACCCGTGAGAGACCCTCTAGTTAGTCTATCATTTTCTCCCTTAGTCGACGAGAGCCCCTCATTACAACCAATGATTGCATTGGTTCATACTCCGTGTTTCTCTTTTGTCTATTGCTTTGTCTATAGATTTCAAAAATCGACCTGCGGGCCCCTTGCTACGAGGTATTTTATCCTCCCGAATAAGTGAAATTAGCTTTGGACAAGGTTGCCAGACTGTACACTGGAAAAAAACACATTGGATCTAGAGTCCAGACTCTTGAAAACATTGACAAGAAAAAAGACTCTTGATTCAATCAGATTTAAGCTTAACAAAAGGGAATCCGCTCAAATCAAGAGGCTTGGTTCTTGATTTAAGCTTAAATCTGATTGAATCAAAAGTATTTTTTCTTGTCGGTGTTTTTAAGAGTCTGGACTCTAGATCCAATGTGGTTTTTTTCCAGTGTACGATAAACTGTAGATGTTTTTTATAGGTTTGAATGGAGAAATGTGCTGATTTTTCACATCAGTGTTGAAGATTTTCATTAATGGACCACTAGACAAGGTACGAATTTAAGCAATCTGATACATGTTTCTTAACCAGAATTTCACGTAAAACACGATTCACACTACGAAAATTACCGAAATCAACTTCTAACGAAGGTATTACCGTTTTTATTTCGCACTGATTACGAGGAATTTGAACTGCCCGCTCACAAGAAACTCAAAGCTCTACGTGAGTCAAATCGCGCACTACAACGGTTTCAGCAAGCTTCTCAATCGAGCAATGTTCATTTTCCTCCATGTGTTGTTCAAACTATTGGTAATTTGCTATAGCTGAGCCAAAGTGTCAAGATTGAAGTTGAAGATTTTTACATCGCAGAGACTGTCATGATAAACATTTAGCGCGCGATGTGAATCACGTAGAGCATTGAGTTTTCATAAGCGGGTGGTTTGAATTCACGCATCAAGAATCATTAAATATCCTTGTCAGGAGTTGATTTCGGTAATTTTCGTTGTGCGCGTCGTATTCTACGTGAAATTTTAACTAAGAAACATGTATCAGAATGCTGAAATTCGTACCTTGTCTAGTGATCCATTGTGGCGGAGCTTACCTATGCTACGATTGCGCCCCATGCAAAACCAGGAATCCGAACTATCTACCAGTCCGTGTTGTAAGTAGACAGGAGTGGCGCCTGTTTCCCCTGGAATGCGGAAAAGCGTCAGTATGAATCCATCGGGAGTCTCTGCCTTGTGGACTTCCAGTGGGTAACCGTTACGGCGAATATATTCATCCTGCAATGGTCGTTCAATACAGGAAGAAAGAGTTTATTAAAATTCCTGCAAAACTGTCCAGCCAAAACGGCTGTTTTGGCTTTCATTCTCAACTTTAACTTTTTCTTCTCTTATCAATCCGTGCGGACTTCGGATTGAATTACATTGAAATATAGTTTACCCTAGAGTCCCTTTATGCTGAGAGTCAAGACAATTCGGCTCATGGATGTCACAAACGGGAATAAAGATTACAGAAATTGAACGTTTTTCGTAATCTTTGATCGGCCCATTCTCAAATGCCTTTCTCCGTTCCTCCTCTCATTCCGTTTGTTCCTTGCCGAACCCGTAATTCCCTGGTCCATTCCAGATTATAATCTTTGCAATTGGTGAAAATGTAATCTTTATTCCCGTTTGTGACACTGTGGAGGCCTAAAATACGGGAACCGATCAGAAATGGATTCAAATTGTCTTGACTCTCAGTATAAAGGGACTCTAGTTTACCCTAGACTCCCTTTATACTGAGAGTCAAGACAATGCGAATCCATTTCTGATTCGTTAACCGGATTTTAGGCCTTCACAGTGTCACGAACGGGAATAAAGATTACATTTTCACCAATTGCAAAGATTATAATCTGGAATGGACCGAGGAATTTCGGGTTCGACAAGGAACAAACGGAATGAGAGAAGGAACGGAGAAAGGAATTTAAGAATGAGCCGATCAAAGATTACGAAAAACGTTCAATTTGTGTAATCTTTATTCCCGTTTGTGACTCCATGAGGGATGTTGTCTTGACTCTCAGCATAAAGGGACTCTAGTTTACCCGGAAAAAAATTTTTTAATCTCTCAGCAAAAAAAAACAGAATAAAAAACTGTGGAACAGGCTCATTTTTCAAAATTTGTTCCTCTAACAAGATAGTTGTATGTCGGTAACAAATTGGTTAACAGGACTTTCGTAATAGTATAAGAAGACTCAAGTTTTCTCAACATAAAAATCTATCAGGGAAAGGGGACGCATCCTCTAGAATAAATATAACAATGAGATCCTTCATTCTATTATTTCCGTAAAAGACTATCTTGTTTTGAGTAAATTTGGTCGATGTCAGAGGCTTTGAAAAAAAAGTTTACAGCTGTTAGATCCCAACAGTGGCGTAGCGTGCTTTGCGATAAGTCGAATGATCCGTCATTTAAACCCATGAAAAAGAATCGATAAACAAGGTGTTCGCAACGAACACTTCAATAATCCATCATTTACCACAGTTTCAAATTAATAAATATCGATAATCGATCAATAACACCGGGGGAAAAAGTTGCTTGAATCTAGAGTCCAGACTCTTAATGATATTGACAAGAAAAAATACTCTTGATTCAATTCGACTTTTATTTGAATCCAGGAGTCGAGCCTCTTGATGCAGGCGGATTTCCTTTTGACTCAAGTAAAAAGTCCAATTGAATCAAGAGTATTTTTTTGTGAATGTTTTTTAGAGACAGGACTCTAGATCCAAGCGACTTTTTTTTTCCAGCGAACGCCTCTCCACTGGATCCCAAGCAACGCAAGAAACCTTAAGTTTCAAAATGAGCTTTGAAAGATGATTTCGGTTTAAAATGAATACACTGGGGGAAAAAACACATTGGATCTAGAGTCAAGACTCTTGAAAACATTGACAAGAAAAAGGACTCTTGGGTCAATCAGATTTAAGCTTAAATCAAAAGGAAATCCGCTCAAATTAAGAGGCTTGGTCCTTGATTTAAGCTTAAATCTGATTGAATCAAGAGTATTTTTTCTTGTCGATGTTTTTAAGAGTCTGGAACCTAGATCCAATGTGGTTTTTTTTCCAGTGTAGAGTTGAAATGCGAAAACTCAAATTATTCTGGCAATGTCTTAGCGTTTTTTCAAGTGGCCAATAAGGAGGGTCCTAGATCGAACATCTGAGTCAGTATTATTCTCCTTTCTTTTCTTCCGTGCTTTCCGCTTTTTTTCCTCTCCTTTTTCTCTTTTGCACTTTGCCGTGCCTGCAGCATCCTCGTGTCGGTGTTTTATTATTTGTTCGTTTTTATCGACGCTTTCTTTAAACAAAGAATCCTCACCAAACAAACACACAGAACACTGGGTGTGATTTCTGCGAACGGTTCCCGTTTTTGTCATTTTTCCCATTCTTTCTACAACGTAACTGTTTATCCACCCTCGGCTTAACCTGTGCTCGTCCCATATTCAGCCAGGGTCTAAAGCGACATCAACGTGTGTTTAAGCCGGTATCGTTTCCAAATATTGATGTTTAGCCAGAAACTGCAGATCTCAATCGTGTACATAACAATTTACAAGATCATTTTCTTTTTTTTTCCAGGAAAATTTATCAACTAAAATTTCATGTAATTATACTTGTTTTTTATTATAAATGATATTTTCAATTCCAAGAGGGATAAAACATGCATATAACATGGATAATTGTTCTCCTATCATAAAAGATTGCGATGCAAGAAACTTTGCAACGATGCAAATGGATCAGATTTTTCGTCAATATTATCATTCATTAATTGTCGATATTGCATTTTTAGGAGAATTTTACATTTCTGCTGATGGCGGCATGGAATGAACTCATTCCGTATTTTCATTACGAGTTTTCTAGATCAAAGATCTTAAAATAACTTCTTTTCGTTGAATTATTTTCAAATATATGCACCAACTCTGAATTTTTGAAAAGTGCGACTTTTACAAAATGCACAAATATACATCGAGGCAACTAGCAATCGCCGGCTGGTTGCAAGTGGCATGCGTGTAAACTCGTCAACTTGCCATAATTCGTTTCGACGTACTAAAGATTTCGTAGGTAAGGGACTTCAAAAGCACAAACTCAGCTTGAAACGCCTTCAAATCTTTTGATACTCTCCGCTTTGCCATGCGGTTGGTTTAGTTGCCTATTCGAACCAAACCCAATTAAGGTCTTTAATTGGACTGAGTTAAGCAGAAAGGAACCAACCCACATTTTGGGAAAAAATTGAGTTATGAGTGGTTTTGAACTCAACCATTGCTCTACTATCTATCGCCAAAAATTCAAAGTTTTTGTTGGAGCAACTTTTGCAGAAATTGAACTTGAAGTTTATCTTTTACATTGAGTCTTATGCAGGAGCCAAACTTTAAACCTCTTTTTCTCGGTTCGATCCCGATGTGGCTTGGTTCCTTTCTGTTTAACTCCGTCCAATTACACTATACACGCACTATCGCAAGTGAGCGAGCTAGCACTAGTGGCAATCAAAGAATTTTCCTACTACAAGTTTTCCTAATATTTCTTTCCTACTCGTTTTTTGTCCCATTAAATTTCGACCTAAGAGTAATATCCTACTGGCATATTTCCCAAGAGCATTTATCCTAACTCAAATTAAAGTATAGATAAATCTAGAGCCCCTGTTTAAAAAGTGTTGAGACAACGCGGCTTGTGGATTTCAAAAACGGGAATACAAATTACACAAATATGACGTTTGCTGTAATCGTTGATCAACCCATTCCCGAATTCCCGTCTCCGTATTCCCGCTCTCATTTCATTTTTTCCTTGCCGTACCTCTTATTCCCCATCCCAGTTTATAATATCTGCAATTTGTGAAACTGTAATCTTAATTCCCGTTCGTGACACTGTGAAGGCCTAAAATACGGGGACCAATCAGAAATGAATTCGCATCGTCTTTACTTTCAGTATAAAGAAACCCTAGGTAAATCTAGAGTCCCTTTATACTGAGAGTTAAGACAATTCAGCTCATGGATGTCACAAACGGGAATAAAGATTACAGAAATTGAACGTTTCTCGTAATCTTTGATCGGCCCATTCTCAAATGCCTTTCTCCGTTCCTCCTCTCATTCCGTTTGTTCCTTGCCGAACCCGTAATTCCCTGGTCCATTCCAGATTATAATCTTTGCAATTGGTGAAAATGTAATCTTAATTCCCGTTCGTGACACTGTGAAGGTCTAAAATACGGGAACCAATCAGAAATGAATTCGGATCGTCTTTACTTTCAGTATGAAGAAACTCTAGGTAAATCTAAAAAATATAGGTTTACATAACGGGGGTCTCTGTTATAAACCAACGTATAAGTGTGCGACTTTATAGGTCGTGAACTCTTCCTACTGTAGTCTGCTCTACTCGTATTAAAGTATCAATAACAGTTAAAACACATACGCTTAGGGAAAAAGCTAGTAGGACATCTTACTCGTAAGATTTACTGTGGTAGGACAAAAAACAAGTAGGAAAAAAAGTATTAGGAAAACTTGGGATAGGAAAGAATATTCTGGCACACCAGGTCTGTTCGAATTCCAAACATAATAATCGGTATTCTCTGACTATAGTTTCTTTACTTCATGAATTTTTATATTTTTTCATTCGACACACATAGATTACCTATATTCTGTCGGCGATTGCTTATTTTCTGCGACACATCCATAAACTTATGGTGATTCGATGGACGCCATATTTTGTGTCAGAACGGCACGCGATACTTCGCATCAGTTGGTTCCATTTTTTCAGCTACTCGTCATATTTCTCGAATTTTGAGATCGCAATTCTGTTGTTAGGAGACTAAAGCACTCACTTGCCAATTTTAACAAAAAAATTCAACGTAATAAAGGCGTGGTTTTTTTAGAGAGAAAACATCGCATTCGCGTGCAGTTTCGATATCAGTATCGAATGCGATGTTTTCTCTCTAAAAAAGAACCAACGTTGAATTTCTTTGTTAAAATTGGTAAGTGAGTGCTTTAGTCTCCTGACAACAGAATTGCGATCTCAAAATTCGAAAAAAATGACGAGTAGCTGAAAAAATGGAACCAATTGATGCGAAGTATCGCATGCCGTTCTAACACAAAATATGGCGTCCATCGAATCACCTTAAAGATAAATGTTGCATCCCGGTAGAAAAGTGCAAATGAAAGTTTTGGGGAAAAAGAGAACAACGTCTTAATGGACCATTAAATAAAATATGAATTAGAGCACTGTACGTTTCATTTTTCTTCTTTATAATTTCTCGGGGGAACGAGTCATACAAAGATTACTGCTGCGAGAGTTAGAAGTAGCATTAATCATATGGTAGACTAATAACATTATTTTTTTATTTTTATGCAGTATATGGTAACCAAACACGTGTGCATTTTCCGGAACACTTACCGTAGTTGTTTCTCTTCTAGCACCATCACACCCGCAAATAAAAATACATATACACGTGAAGATACTCAGGAACATGCTGGATGGTATCTATGTACAAAGTAAACAAAACCATCAATAAAGGGCATGATTTAATAATTTAATAGAATGTTTTAAATATTTGAAAGACTGAAGTATGCTCCCGATTTAAATGATTCTTAAGTCTCACAGTAAGACTGGCATATCGCTGTAATCTAGAATCATTGTTGTGAATTTATGATATTTCAGTGACATTTGAAGTGTAATGATCATGAAATATACAATATATCAAATGTGTAATTTAAAAAAATTTAAGAGTTAATTAACCTAAATAAATGAAAATCAATAAAAGCAATTTCAAATCAATGAATAATAAATACAAATTAATTGCTGTCAATTTCAAAAATCAGGCCTTTGATAGTCAGGCAACCAAGGCAAAAAATGAAGGAGGAGTCAAAGAGTGTACATGAATGATGAATCGGGGGGAAAATAAAGCTGAGAATCACTAACCTCGTATCAATCGATCAACTCGTCTTCACTGGCAGTAGCTGTTGTTTTGGAGAATTTTCAATTGTATTAAAAGTTTCTGATCCATCCCTTTCCACAGAGTGATCCTAAAACAAGATTGTCATGAAAGTGATTGACTAAGATTTCCCACCCAATTTAAAAACGTTAACAAGTTCATATGTTACAAGGTGGATAAATGGTGCTGGGTCCTCACCATTTTGCGGGAAAAACAAAGCCAAGAAATCCCAAAAATTAAAATTAGAGCCATAATTAAATTTTATGAACTCTAATGCGTACAAGTACAAAACAGAGGGGGAAAGTGTGCAGCTCAGGCAATTTGCATTGGAATATTAAGTTGGAGTCACGCCGAGAGATCTACACCGGCTTGGGCCTATTTAGACCTCATCAGCAGATCACACTCGGCAGTGAATTCAACTTGACATGCCGCAAAATCCAAGACGGCATTAAAACGCCGTCATGGATATGACCCGAGGCCTGACACAAAAGTGTGATCCTCGCTCCATCTACCGTCGCTGCTGAACAACTCTCATAAAAAAACAAGGAAACCCCGAAAAAATGATTATCGGGTTCATATGTATCACCAATTATTATCAACTTCAAATTCATTCACTCAGATCCTAATAATGTATGAGAACTATGTGCAATCTGAGCGATACTGGGATAATCGCACATTTCTCTCAGCACTGGAATACGTGGAATTGCTAAATTCTTCAAACTCAGTGTAGATCAATCGAGAGGCTTGGAGGAAAAGGCGCATAAGTGCAGTTTTTAAAAAAAAAATCGAGATATTACTTTTCTGAGTAAAACCAGTCCTAATGCATAGTCTGTGAAAAATTCGCTCCCAAATTCCAATTTTTAAGCATCAACAAGTGTGTTTGAACTTTCTCTCCGCCATGAGAATCCATGTAATTTCGAAACTTCAACCACGTATTTCTCGAAATAGCAAAACCTGCACTCACGCGTCTTGTTCTCCAAGCCCCTCAATTATTATCTCTTCCGAATGAAATCCAGTTGTAGGGCTACTTGGCTTCAAACAAGTGGGTCTTCAGAGAATGTACGAGTTAAAGCACCATGTACCAGGTTACCACTTCAAAATTTCACGAAGAATACGAACCTTACTACGGAAAGTATAGAAATCAACTCCTGAACAAGATGTAGGTGTTTACAATGATCATTGGCTAAATGGCAAGAGTATGAATAACGTCATTGGAATGGCCTAGCTTCTTTTTAATCTGTGTTGAAAATGATTGTTAATAGCTGGTTCAGGAATCGGTTTCCGAACATTCTGTCGTGTGAATCGTTTGCTATACGTGAGATTTTGAAGAAAAAACATGTGACATTTTCCCCTAATTCAAACCTCATCTAGTCCCTTGCACAAGTCACAAAATTGTGTTTTGATACTTGATTCTTGTAGCTTAGCTAAAAATATTATGATCCATCCAAACCGCAACTTCCTACGTCCAATATTAACCGAGAAACGAGAGAACTTGTATGCGGACTCCTGTGAAGATTTCTAGGGATTTCCTTTGTACTGTGCAAAAATTCATCTGCACAAAAATCTGCCGATACCGTTTTCAAGTAAAAAATTAAATTCGGCAATGACTGATGTGGCTTGATTCCTTCCTGCTTAGAGCGGTCCAAATATACTTATCAATTTAAATCTTGTTTCATTCCATCGGGAGGAAACTCCTATTTACTCGCTCGAAAGTACAGTAATTCTTGATGGAAATCACATCATCCTGCCTTTGGTGACGTGTATTATCGGTTCCTCTGCTGACTTAAAGCGCGTTGTAATTTCAATTTCTAATGCACCAGGGTGAGTTTTTAGGAGTGTAATTCTAAGATAATACGCGTTGCATCTAGCTGAAAAGAGATTACTCGCTTTGTTGGGGGAAAGGCAAATAGTCTTCGCGAGAGAGGTGATAAACTTGAGACTTGACAAAAAGTTTTTTCTTTTTCTTCTCAATCTCCTTGCCGCTCGTTCAAGGAAATATTATTTGAAAACTTTTCTTTCCACTTAACCATTTCAAAATGCAATTATTGAAAATCGGATAGGATAATAGAGGGAGACCAATCTAATCTAAGTGCATTCCATCAAGGACTGGTTTTAAGTGAGTGCAGGATTAGGAAGTGAAAATCAAGTTCCTATAGAGGTTGCACTCGCGTGGTTGTCGAACATCGTTATTTCTCGACCTTTTAACTAGCAGTCTAACTGCGGGGCGATTATTGAAACTGATAGACAAAGCGATAGACAAAGATGACATAGGAAGTATAAAGCAATTCTATTGGTTGAAATGGGTGGTTCTCATCGACTAAGGGGAGAAATGATAGACTAACTGTCGGGTTTCTCGTGGGTTGCCGTTACTTAGTCGATTACCTACCTCCTTTGTCCATTGCAACAACCCGTTTCCACCAATAGGATCCCTCCAAATCCCTTTTGTCGTCTTTGTCTATCGCTTTATCTATCAGTTTCAATAATCG